CCCCCCCCCCCCCCCCCCCCCGGTTTCAGCTGTACGGGGAGTACAGGGAGCAGCAGGGAAGCTTTGCCCGACGTGAGGCTGCCCGTCTGCTGACAGAGAGACAATGCAGGAGACAGGCGGGGGACAACACCACCGGCCGAACAGGGCACGGCCGGCGGCATCAGCATCAGCATCACCCAGTGTCCCTGGAGCCGTATCACAGCCACGCCTCTTCCACCAAGAAGCCTCGTCCCTACTCAAAATGCCAAGGTGACTAGTTATTCTGTTCAAAAACACACGCTTTACAAAAGTTTTTTGCGAAAAAGGCAAACTCTGGCGATAGTTTCCATGGCTATGACACCTCATGTGGTAACCAGGAAACAGACTGAAATCAGCTAAATATTATTTATTAATATTTTGAGGTACTGGTCCTCCACAACTTCAATCTTTTATTAGACCATATTCTAGAGAGAGCAGCGTTTACCTCACGGCTTCAGTTACTGGTTACTTTGCACATTTTGATTTTAAATGAACTCATAAAATCTGATGCACTTTTACAGTTTAATTAGGCCGCCACACGGATCATGAGGCAGTTGGACTTAGTCAGGATTTTAGACATACTGAGCTCATGAGTCCCTTAATATATCCCACCCATACTTAAACAAACAAATTCTCTAAAATGTGTTATTTGGATTTTCCATGTTGTATTCATCATTTAAATGTCCAATTATATTATATTCTGTACATTTCATTCCCCAACATGAAGTTCTAAATGCTGGTTTAAAACTTTCTCTGTCCTGTAGGATTACATTTCTTCTAGAAAAATACTGAACGCTTAAAATGTATCCCTTTTATTTTTCAGCCTAAAAGTTGCTATTGCATCATCACTGTAGCCATAATCACCCAGAATGATTCCCAGTGTTACGAGAACTAATTGTTATCAATGGATCCGTGGTGAATCATTCATTTGATCTCTCTGTCCCAGATTGTTTTGCTCGTGTGCGGCGGTACATAGTGACCAAGATGGGGGAGGACTGGATATTTCTGGTTCTTCTGGGACTGACTATGGCTCTGGTCAGCTGGAGTATGGACTACACCAGCGCCAAGAGCCTGCAAGGTACATAGGCCAAAGCCATAAAGATGATTCCTGTCAAATCTGCAGTTTAATAACACAACACCTTGTCTGTAATTATTCCATCTGTACTCCTGTGTTTTCTCTTTCTGTCTCTGTTGTGTTTCTGTCTTTCAGCTTATAAGTGGATGCATGGGGAGCTAAAGGGCAATGTGCCACTCCAGTACCTCGCCTGGGTTACCTATCCCATGATCCTTGTCATGTTCGCCTCGCTCTTTTGTCACCTGGTTTCCCCACAGGCCATCGGTAAGCTCTCCATCACCTGTCAGCCTCTCTTATCCTCCTCTAGCACCTGTTTATTTCCTCTCTTCACCTGTTTTCTGTTTTCCTGTTGTAGGAGAGTGGCGCTCTTTCTTTCTTTACTGCTCCCACCATTTTGTATTCTACTTCTCCATCTTTCTCTGTTGTTTTTTACAGGTTCTGGCATTCCTGAGCTGAAAACCATCCTGAGAGGTGTAGTGCTGAAGGAGTATCTGACCCTCAAAGCCTTTATAGCTAAAGTCGTCGGGCTGACTGCTGGCTTAGGCAGTGGGATGCCGGTGGGCAAAGAGGTAACCCCCCCCCCCCCCTTTTTATATCTGTTTTTCTCTGTATCTTTCATCTTTTATTGATCCAGCATCACTATCATCATCCCCCTTCATCTCTGTTTTTCTTTCTGCATCTTTCTCCAAGCTTGGAGTGTAATAAATCATCTTCTGTCATGTCTTTCCTCCCTCCCTCCTCTCACGGGATTGAAGCAAATTATTTTTCAGCAAAGGAGCGCATTCTTTTTCCCCGTGACAGTAGCAGGTCAACTGTCACATCCAGCACTTATACAGTGATTTATCCATTCTGATACAACATGTCCCAGTTTAGACTCCTTCTTTTACAGACAATAGTCGGTGTCTGTGTATGTAACATTACGTGTTACTCATCTGTGTCATCGCGTGTCACCCTCAGGGTCCATTCGTCCACATCGCCAGTATCTGTGCCGCAGTGCTGAGTCGATTCATGTCCATCTTCTCTGGAGTCTATGAGGTAAGCTGAGGCCCTGACCAAAACAGACTACATTACCCACAAGCCTCTTCTCCTTGCTGACCAAGTGCACTTGATGAAGGTGTGAAATGTAGTTTTTCCATCATAACTTGCTTTGTTGATGTCTGTGGTGTAATTACAGGGTTCCCACCGGCCCTTAGAATCTTCATTTTAAGATGTGAGAAAATCCTTTGTTTTGATTTTTAGTCAGTGACCAGGCTCGAGGGTTGATGAAGTCTGTTAGTCGGTTGAGATATCTACAACTGTCGGGTGGATTTTCATGCAAAGCACAAATGTGCTAATGAACAGCCTCACAGAATAGAGGTAGGAGGTTCGACTCTTTTTACCGACTCAGGTTTGTACGAATCACTCACTAAAGAGAGTTTTCAACCTCTCACTTGAGTCACAGCCCCTAGTGACTATACTGTTAGCGGAGCAGCGAACTCCAGCAGTAACAAACGAGACCAGCTGACCAACACACTGGAGCGTTAAACAAGTTAAACCAAAGAAAATAACTCAGACTATCTGATTTCATGATTGATCAGTAATGAACTACTAAAAAGAGACATGTTAAAATTCATGAATGTTTATTGACTGTGATGGAAGCAGCCGGAGTTGGACCGTCAGCTCAGGTCAGGGAGAGCGAGTACTGTGATTGCTTTTCTCACAGCAGGACTAGTGTAGCAGCAGGTAGGAGGGGAGAGTTGTAAGTGAACGAGTTATTGGAGACGACGACTTGTTGACTCCTGAGTCAGTAAAAAGAGTTGAGTTGTTCCGAATGATTTATTCATGACTTGCACATCACTGTCGCAGAGCCGAAATATTATACATAGCTCTTCTGTTCCACTTTTTTAAATGACTCTACCGTATTTTTTTTTATATAAACGAGGCCTCTACAATCTTCACTTTCGCCAATTTGTTGTCCTTGCAGTTCATTAAAAGGTCCTTGAGTTTGATGTTGAAGAGAAAGTGGGAACCCTGTGACTGTTGTCCTGTCCCATCTGTCTCTCTCCCAGCTCACGCCCTCCCCTCCCCTCCCTGTTTCTCTTGTGTCTGTGTTTTGGCCCACCCCCTCGCACCTCGTCTGTGTTTGCGTCTCACTGTATTAATAGTATGATGGTAATGTCTGGCATGTGTATTAACAGTCCCATATCCCTGTCTCCCTCTTCCCCTTGCTCTCTCTATCTCCACATCCCCCCTGCTTTCTCATTCATCCCTGCTCGTCTGTGACCCTTAACCCCCAGAGTGGCACCCATAACCAGGACCTGTTGGTGTGTGCGAGTGCCGTGGGAGTGGCCACCTGTTTCGCTGCCCCCGTGGGAGGCAAGTCCCCCCCTCCCCACACCCCTCCTTCCTACTCAGGCACAGGTCTCTGGTCCTCCTGAAATAACATCGGGATCACATATGTGGAAGTTAAATCTGACCTCAGACCAGTGCCCTGCATTATTAAGTGATGAATACAATTCGTAAGATTTACCTGGCAATATGTAGCCGATGTCTACTTAAACTAATGTCTACCTTAAAGGAAGAGTTCAACATTTTGGGAAATCCACTTATTTGCTTACCTCCTGAGAGTTAGATGAGAAGATTGATGCCCAAAATGTCAAATTATTCCCGTAATACTGGCCTCAGACCAGTATCCGGCATCCGGGTGAATTCAAAGTGAATTGAATGTTTGTGAATATATATTTATTGCAGACGAGTTCGCAGCCTCGACGAGCCTTGAATTATACATTTATTTGTGCTATCAGGCCTTTTCTGCATCCCAAGACCTTTTTGGTAAATAATAAAATATAAATAAATATTTTGCAAAATATTTTAACACAGATCATAAAAGATACTCTTGTACACAAATTGTGATTTTAGAAGGTTACACAGAACATCATATATCAAAACCATAAATAATCAATGGGAATTTAATGTCTCCTACCATTAATTTTTGGTGTGCAATCAGTTGCCGGGATTTGTCTCAAAGGTTGATGTGACTACTCGCTTTGTTTCCTGATTGCTTAATTGCTTCCTCTAATTCTTGATTTCTCTCCTTGGCCTGGTGCATCTCTGCTTTGTATTCTCTTGATGTGCTTTTTTCCCCCCTCGTCTTTATCACTTTTTTAAAATCACACTCCAGTGAGCAATATTTATTCACTTTTTTCCATTTTCCTTCCTTTCTATCAATTCTACCCCCCCCCCCCCCCCCCGCCGTGGTTCCCCGTCCTGTCGTCTCCACCTTGATCTTTTATTCTCTCTATCTCCAACTCACTCTCCTGTCTTTCTGTCTACGCTCTCATTGCCCTTCATCACCATCTCACACCTTTCATCGCTCATCGTCTCTCTCAACTCTTTATTTCCCTCTTGTTTTCCCCTCTCTGTTTTCTGTGTCAGTAGAACCCTTATGGTTACACAGATATTCTGACTGTTGGCTGTGCCGTGGGGGTGGGATGCTGTTTCGGCACTCCACTTGGAGGTACTGTACAACTTGCACACTGCCTCATACAACGAAAACCACCTCACCAAACATCTCCTTGTACTGGATACTGTACTGAGACTATACTTTTTCAGAACAAGCTGGAATGAGTCAGCGGCGCAGGGTGTCGAAAACAAGCCAGTATCACAACTTGTTTATATTCTTTGCTAAGATTTTTCCTGATTTGATTTGAAATGTACATTATTTGCGTCAGTATTTTGTTAAAGATATTGTACAGCTGCTTGTCCTGAGACATATACAATTCATAATGATATATCGGCTTATAATCATTTATTTACATAAACACATAACATAGACAAACGTTTTTTAAATATTTCATTGTTAGACAAGATTATTACTGAGCCAAAACATTCTACGGCTGAAGATTTGTCAGTTCTCTAATGACGGTTTTTAAATGACATCAAACATATATTTGGTATTTCTTGTCACTTATTGGCTGACATTTACATTGATACCATTATGTCCAAAATAATTCATATAATCCGTATATTGGCCCAACCTATTTATCCACCTAGCTCTGTAAATGACAAATGTAACTTCCCCTGAAAATTAAAAGAAATAAAAGTTTGTTTTAAACCACAGAACAATAACCAACCCTAGGCTGAGCAGCTTATATTAATTAGCGGAGTACATTCACAAACAAAGACAAAAAATTAATTAATTGTAGGCAATTTTTAAAGTAATGTTTTAACTCGGTAGTGCCAGAAATTCTCTAGTTCCATCGTGTTAAATGTGAGGATTGATCGGTCAACATCAACGAACATCTTGCAATATATGTGCTGAAGCCAAAAAGCATTGTCGACCTACTTCTCAATCACCATAGAACAAATACCAATGACCTCATTGAGCTATTGTTAGTCCTTATGTATTTACCATGCTTGTTTTCTGTTTAGCTGTTTTACAATATTTTTTACATTAAAAGTTTCTGATG